CTTTGCCCAAGATTTATCTACATGACACACAGTAATTAAAAGTACCAGACCTAACCTTCTTGGATGTTTAACATACTTTGAAGCCTATAATAATTTGGTCAAGGGGACATAAAGGACAGTTTTTGCTCCTTGCCCTCCTAGGTCGACTAGTTCCAGGGGACTATAAGCATCTCTCAAAATGTCCTGTAATTGTGGTAGGTCACCTGTCCTCTTGATGAAGGAGGCCAAGGAGACCCCACCAGATGGACTTGAAACAGTGTTCCATCTACAAAGGGGAGGGTCAACACAGAGGATTCATTTCCTCCATGCTTTCAAGCGAAGTCAGCCATGGTCAAGTAGGGCCTTTGACTTATTTTCACATAGGCGGAACTGGTAAAAGAAATGAGCTAGGGGCTCCTTCCAAGCCCATGTGACTCCTGAGGAACAGATCCTGAAAGGACCTTAAAAGTAAAAATAAGCTGGGTGTGATGGTGCACGCCTGTAGTCCCAGCACTTGGGAGGCAGAAGCAGGTGGATCTCTGTGAGTTCAAGGCCAGCCTGGTCTAGTAAAAATAAATTGGTTTATCTGGGCCAACTATATGGCCTTAAACACACTAAAGGAAAGTATAACCAAAGATTAAAGGGGCCAATATAATTTTTTAAGAGTCCATATGCATAGCTAACAGCTACTTAGCAAGCAAAAATGCCAGGTAAGAGATACCTTCTTTTGAGTTGTTGGCCTGGGTGGCCAAAGGGTCTCCCAGATAGTAACCCACCATAGAACTGGGAAAATGAACAGCAGACCCCAATCTTATCTACAGGAATATTGACAACTGATTGCTGCTAGATGAGGAACAGCTGACCCTCCTAAAACAAAGACCTCTAGATAGGCTGACTAGATTCACCAGGAGGGCAAGTAGTGGGGAATGGCTGAGGGTGCTGACAACACAGCAGACAGTAGCAGGGATATCAGAGTATAAGGGCTCTGGTGGGGGGAGGGGAGGCTATTGGAGGGTGCCATTTGGGAAGTGGGTGTATAGTTGAATAAGATGGTTTGGGATGTTCTGTGTGATATACACACATACACACACACAAAAAAAATCAACAAATTTTAAAACATATATTATATTTGAGGAGGAAGCATCGTAATTCATGTCATGCTAATTAGCAGAGGTGATAATCATTACCATTGAAATGACTTTATAGACATACACAGGTGCCAAGGATCCAAGTGCAACTGATTATGACTAGTAATAATCAGATACATACAGATTAGAGATGCATGTGACAGCATCTCAGCGTTAGTAACAAAAACAATGAGTCTTTCTGCAAGGAACAATATATTCTGAAATGAAATGGAGATCTTTTTTAAAGATTAAAACCTCATTCAATTTTATGTCTTACAGGGCTTATACTGAGTTCAATATTTGTATAACTGTATTAATTCAACTGTGAACCTAGAAACTTGTACCCACTTGTGAAAAAGAGGGACTCTTGCTCTGGAGTGTGTTACTGAATATGTTAAAGCTGTAATGAAATGCTTCTTCTAATCATGTGGTTATTAAATTTTTTAAAAAATTAAAAAAAATTCTTCAAAGCATAAAAATTTGCTCCTTAATAATTAGTAGGTGTGAAAAACATTATCACTGAAATCTACCTGATGACTTTATATCCATGCTCAGAAGCCAAGGGGCACAGAAAGTAACCAACTCTGACTAGTAATAATCAGATATATAGAATTAGAAACATCTTAGTGTCAATTGCAATAAAAATGATTTTTTTTGTATAAAACTGTGTATTTTAATAATGAAATGGAGATTTTTTTAAAAAGGTTAAAATCTCATTTGATTTTAGGTCTTAAAGGGTTTATACTGAGTACAATATTGTATAACTGTGGTAATTCAACTGTGAGCCTAAAAATTTATAGCCAATTTTGAAAGAGATGAATCTTAGCTCAGGAAATTGTTATTGAATATGTCAATGCTGTTGTAATGAAATGCTTCTTCTAAGTATGTGGTTATTAAATAAATAATTAAAAAAAAAAAAGGAGCGTTCTCTCACAACGCTCACAGAGACCTTGCCTGAATCATGCACTTAAATATAGAGGCTGAAAACAAATTCCTCTTGGGGCCCTTAATGCTCATTTAATTCACTTGTTTCTAATTTTATAGTATAAGAATTTTTCCTGAATTTTCTGAAACATTAATAAAATTAATTTCTGGTTTAAAAAATTGAGTGTTCTAATATTAAAAAAATATTTTCAGGGTTGGGGTACAGCTTGGAGAGAGTACAAGTTTAACACACATGAAGTTTACTCCCTGGGTATGAGCCTAAGGACCACAAAAAGAAATAATAGATATTTTCTATGAGACTTACAGCAACCAAACTTAATGTAATAAAACAACAACACATTACTTCTAACATATATTTAAAATTCTCTCTTTATCTCCTTTATGTCTGTGCCACCATTTACTAGATAATGCTAACAGGGTCTGTAACATGGGTCCTGCTTTGGGTAAGCCTGCTGAAATATTAGTGGGATATGATTTCTCACACTTTGGCCTTTTGATGAAACGCCTTTCCAGTACCAGTGTGTCATCGCAGCCTACAATTTCACAGATCAGCTGCCAGGGTATCTACTCCGAGAGCCCAGTTTCACATTGCACTAATGAGTCAACACCTGTTAAGAGTGGAGAAATCTGAACCTTGTTAGCAATTGTGAAGTCTCCTGGGAGCTCGGATGCTGAGCATTGTCATACTCACCGCCAACATGTCTGTACTGAGGACCCTGGCAGCAGCCGTGATGAAGTCCCCCACAAGCATTGAGAAGCCAGGCAAACCCAGGGAGAAAAAGCGAGGTGGACAGTGCCTTATGATAGTGTTTAAGACATCCTAAAAAGGAAGAAAACACGCTTGTAATTTTTAAGAATAAAATTCCAAAGTGGTTTATTTGTATGTACATATGACCACTCTATAATAAAATAACAGAGCATGATGACAGGTTTTTCAGCCACAGAGTACAGGGAGGTATGTTATTCCAATGGTCCTTGCAACAGCTCAGAGGAAGAGAATGGAGACACCATACTATAAGGTATGTGACATATCCACAATCTACATTATGGCACTGAGGCTAGCTAGACACTGTTCTGTACTCCACCTAACAGTGGGCTCCTTGGACAAGTTTCAGGAGTGCTGAGGTAGATATATAAATAAAATTTTCAAAGATTTGTCACTAAAACAAAGAACATGCTTCTTTAGCTTTAATTTTCAGAGGTTAAGCACATTGATAGTTAAAAAAACAAAACAAGCTGGGCATGGTGGTGCATGCCTGTAGTCCCAGCACTTGGGAGGTAGAGGCAGGCAGATCTCTATGAGTTCAAGGCAGCCTGGTCCACATAGTGAGTTTCAGGACAGCTCTGGCTACAGGGAGACCCTGTCTCAAAAAGACCCAAAAAAGAAAAACAAACAAAAAACAAAACAAAACAAAAACTTAGTGTAGGCAAAGAACTGGATATGATCATTCCCAGTAGTTTTAGACACCAAGAAATGGGAATGTGGGGTGAGGTGTTGAGATCAGTGAGTGAGCATGGATCTGATGTGCACATCAGGTGTAAGCACAAAGCACAACAGTAGTCTTTTGCCAGAGCACAGCATCAGGCGCATCCTCCCTGACAGCCTTCCATCCTCTGTCCATAATGGCCTCCTTTTGATGGTTGTCTGGTCCCCAACCCCCAGTCCCTCAATCCTGACTGTGCCAGATCAGGATCTACCACAGGACAGCAGTCACATCATCATGGCCAGGGCCCCCTCTAAAGCCATCTGTGTCAGTATGTGCATGTGTAAGTGGGATTAGTAAGAAAAACACAATCTTCCTTGAAACAGTTTTGGCCAGGCACATTAATCAAACATACCATACTGAAGTACTACAGTTATGTGACTTGTAGTTATATAACCTAAATTTAGTATCAACATATGAGCAAAAAGAAAAAGACAAGGAGCCTTGGTTTCTTAGCTGTCAGTGTGGCTATTTGAAAATCGTTTAAGATAATGCTGTTGTAACTGTTTTATACTAGAGCAAAGTAGTAGCAGCATGCTAACTTCTAATGTTATCTTAAGCCCTTCACCATAAAAATAACACCATTCCACAATTTGTCTTCTTAAAACACAATGTACAGGTGCTCACAAGACATTTTTCTAAGACACTTTTTCTTACATAGTAGACTATTTAATTTCTATAAATCATACTATTTATATCTGTCAAGTAACTGTCTAATACTTAATATTTTAGTGTTTGTGGATGATGAACAGTTTAGCTTGTCCTTCTTAAAGTTTTGGCATTTCAGTGAACTTTTTCTTTCACCAAAATAAACAGACACACATGACAGATAGATAGATGATAGATAGATAGTGTGTCTCTTCCCTCCCTTAATGTCCGATGATCAAATCTTGTTATGCTGAGGAAGGGAGGGAGGGAGGGAGGGAGGGATGAAGGGGAAGAAAACCTGAACTACGCTTCTTCGCAGTTAATATTTAAGCCTGCCTTAATCACGTCCTGTGCTACACTTTAGGGTCCCTATCAGCCAAAACAAACATTCTCTGGGCTGAGCAGATGGATGCTGCAGGTTGGAAAGTGTGTGGTAAACTCATGCTCCAGCAGTGGAACAAAAGATCTACCTTTTTTATAATTAAGCCTCTGATTAATGCCCTGGGCTCCTCACCACACACCTGTAATTACTCACAGAGGTATGCATTGTGCTGAGGCCTTGTCTCAGAATATCAAGCATCAAGCTATCCAGCAGCAGATGGAAACACATTTCTGTTGACATATGCTGCAATGAAAGGATTTGCACAAACCTGGCTAGCAAGGTAGCAGAATGCCATGCATTTGAAGATTAATAATACAAACAGCTATGATGTTAACTTTGTTATGTTTGTGTTAATTCCATCTGTTGAGATGAAGAACTTAAAACCTTCAAACCTGTGGGTTTTAAACAACTTTAGCATCTACTAAACTCAAAAATGTCATTTTCACCATTGGAATTTTGAGTTTTACTTTTTTTTTGGTCTTTTTGAGACAAGGTCTCTCTGTAGCCCCAGCTGGCCTGGAATTCACTATACTCACTATGAAGACCAGGTTGGCCTTGAACTCAGGGGGATCCATCTGCCTCTGCCTCCTGAGTGCTGGGACTAAAGGCTACCATGCCTGGCTTGAGTTTTAACTTCAAGATGATTGTCTGAAATAAGTTTGTGGGAATTGGGAACTAAATCCTTTAAAAAGCTAAAACCAAACTTGGTATATTGAATCCATCTTGTTTCATAAAGTGTGTATGCATAAAGGCAATGATCTGTAAAATGGGGCACTCAGAAAAACATCTACAAAGTTGCCACTGATGCTAAAGATGACAGAGATGCATGTAGCTGTGATAAAGTCACAGGGCTTACCCAGTCCCTGGACCAGGGCCAGCCACTTCAATGGAACCCGTTTCTATGGGCAAAAAGATGGGAAAGAGCGGGCACAGTAACAGATGGTAAGCCTGCCCTACTTTGCCACCCACATAAGACAGTGCCCAGAGGGAAAGCAGGACCTGTGCTGCTGTTACCAAAGACAGCACCAGGGCAGGGTTAATGTGGGGGTTAAAGAGGGGAACACATGACCAGTCAGCCAAATTACAGCCACATGCCAGCTTATTTTGCTTATCTACACTGAAATAGAACAGTCTAAAGATTCTATCTTTGAGATACCATTTTAAAATTAGGACTAGCCATGTGGTACTCAAAAGAGAGTTATCTGTCATCTATGTTCCCAATAGAGGGCCATCCATAAAGCATTTCATTCATTTCTAACTCATAGCAAAATCCTTCTTTCATTCTCCATTGAGATATCCAAAAGCCCAGTTTTATAACTGAGGTCTTTGGAAATACAAAATAAGAATCTTCACTCTGATACTTTCTTTACAGCCTACATACAGGGCTTTAAGCCCCAACAAGGCAGGACAGTACTTACCACACATCACTCATGGCAGCCCTCATGCCTTTGTAGTACCCTCTCTAAAACAAGCAAGACTTGCCCAGGAGGTTTTCCAAAATGACCCGCTTTTTTGAACTTACAAAATTATCCTGGACAACTATCACCCTTTGTCACAAACAGAATATACTCCTTAAATCAGCATAATATCATCAAGCAAATAATGCTTAATTTCTTGCCGTCATTTCTACTATGTGATTCACTACTGTCAAGGCTGCCTCTCTGAGGCCTTTAGTGGGAAGATTCCTTGAATCCAAACTCTTCTGGTAAAGAACTCTAGAACTGGGGCCATGAGGTCTGGGTTCAAAGACTATGGGGCACATCATGCCAGAGCTGGAGCAGCACCTTTCTCCTCCACATGATGGGATGGATGATCACTTTGTAAAGAGCAGTCAGCACTGTACCACGGATGGAAATTGATGCTTTAGAGGCTTTAAGGGCTAAACAGAAGCAAATGGTGCTGCTAGCAAAATAATAATAATATAATAATTTTAAAAATAATGAAGTATTTCAAAATGAAAAGGGCTCTGAAGGATTTTACTTTATGGAGCCTAGTTCATAGGTTTGTATAATTCAGTAAGCTAGTATTTTTCTGATCTACAGGATGGGTATTTTAAAGCATTTCAGAGATGGCCCAGACAAGCCTCTCAGATCACACATTATCCCAGAAATTAAAAAGCTCTAGAAATTAGTGCCCTCAAACAACATCTTTAACAAGCACTACATCAATTAGTCATACTGTATGTATGTAACTTACTTATAAGGCAAAGAAGGAAACAAAAACAGGGAAATGATCATTTTAGACTTTCTAAGTTTTATTCTTCTGAGGAATTCCAGAACTTATCCAAAACAAGTGAGTCTGGCATCAAGAATTGGTTTCTCTCATACATCTAAATACACTAAACAATAAATGAACAAGGGGTTTAGTGACAAATGGAGTCTATAATAGGAATTTGGTATAAAGCTTATTCTCTAAGTTGAGTAGGATGAAGCACAGACATACCCTTTCACAAGCTTTGCTCAAAAGAAACAATCCTGTGAAATGTTGCCACATGGTGGATGGATAAGGCTGCATGGGCTTCTCCTGTCTTCCTGAAAAGTCCGTGTGCAAAGCTACATGTTGAGTGTGAAAAGCTAGACTGTAAGATGGTAATTGTGGATTTGCATCTTATCAAAAGAGTCAGGTTTATGAGAAAGTGACTGGTGAGAACATCTGTCTCTTATCACTGATCTTACAAAAAAAAAATCAGGTAATTCAAATAGAGGCGTGTTGTTTCCTCTCCTCCAAAGCACAGTTCTATAAACACAAACTACATTCGGCTCGGTAAATGAATCGCTTTAATTGAATGCTATGTACACAGTAACTGGAAAAACCATAAGTGATAACAAAAACATATGGCGATGGCAGCAGAAATTGGTTTATTCATTTTGCATAGTGTTGTTTCCTTAGTTCTCCTATAATTGACCTTTAGAATGATAAATGTGTAAAATAATTTTGTTTATTATGGCTCCAAACCTTTCAACAATTACACAAAATGAAAATTTAAAAAGAAGGCTTCATTCTGGAAGCATTTCCATTGTTTACATAATTGCACAGCTATAATTTAGTGCTTGTGTTGTTATGGAAAATAAAAAAAAGGGCCATTACAGGCCATTTCAATTCAAAATATTGCACAGTAGTGTCAAAAAATGGGGGCAAAATGTTCACTTTAAAGCAGTTTAAAATGGATTAACCCTGTAAATAAAAACACTTCAATAGAGCATTCTATGAAATACAAATGTTCAAGCAGCCATCCTTTAAACTGTATGGGAAACGTTGCAACTCTGCTTGCACACCAGCCACATATATATTTTTCACTTAATATTT